AACAGACTGAATTCCTATTAAAAATATTCGTCTGAGAATGTGTCACAAGGTCGTGTACGATTTTTCACGACTCGACGAGGTGGCATCTAAAAAAATGTCGACGAATTATTTCTGTACTCACGCCACGCTTGTTCCGCTTCGTCGATGGTATCCATCGTGTCCGGCGTGGACATTGCGATTAATTCTCACGATGACCCCGGAGTATTAATACGTTATTCAATTGAACTGATTAACAAGCGCAAACAGAGCCAACGCACTCTCCACCAACATATCTTTCGCCGCACTCGTAACAATTCTCTTCATCGATACTAATATCCAAAGTTCACTTAGAGCAATTTTCTAATTTTTTTTCTCGTTTGACAAGTCAGCTTGTTCGTCCGGGACTAAAGTAACTAACTGTACTTGCATATCTGTCAGTAAACAGAAAGTCAAAATAAGATTTATAAAAAAGTTGGAGTCATGTGATACAAGGACAAGAGAAACGAGACGATGAGAAGAATGTCTTTCGCCTCTAAACGCATTAGGCACACGTTAATTGTGATGAGTTTGGTCACGGAAGTTCTACGACGTTAACAATCGCTTTCAAACAAAGGTGAAACGTCCTGTCTCCGTAAAATTAATTATTGGATAATTTTACCTCATTATCTTTTTGCATTATCTATAATTTCAATAGGATATAGAAACTATGAATTATATTTGAATATACAATTTTTTATATTCTTACTCAGGAAGCACTTCAAGATCAAAAATTATAAAATTAATCCACTAAATATATTTATATCTTATTTGAAGAAAATTGATGCAATTCGTAGAAAATTATTTATAGTGGACTTTTTACAAACGTTACACAATGAAGAACAATTTCATCACAAACGTCACTCATTGTCATTAATATGAGTACCAATTAGTGTTTTGCAATTAATACATGGAAGAGTTATTGAATTAGCACACTCCTTTCGTAAATTTAATACAGACAAGAAAAAAGAAGAAATTATTCGTAATACAAGGCGAAACGAACGTTAAACGGAACGTTATTTCCTCCCGCCGATATTATCGAAACTGAAACGCGATCGCGAATGGTGAGAATTCGAATGCCAAGCTGTGTCACGTGGACTTAGCAAGCAGACGTTACTCAGTGACGTTCTTCAAGTCAAATGCCATATTGGCCGTTAACGGTTCATATGTTAAACAGACGTATTTTAAAAGTAAAATAAAAATTGACATTCATGTGTATGATCTTATGTAAATGTATTTATGCCGCGTTTCTCTGACATCTATAAATATACAATTACAAGCATGTAAACATATGTTGTCGCGGAATTGTCAGGTTTCCTCTCGGTTGCGAATTCTTTGATCAGTTTGGATTTAAAGATATAGTAATCAATCCCAAATTAAATTGTGATTTGCAAGAAACGCGAAGAAGCGTAACGAATAATTTACTGTACACGAAAAAAACGACTTTGCTAAAATATCGAAAAATTTGAATACACTGAGACAAGAATGTATTAAATTTTAATAAATACTTGTTTAAATAATACTCGTTTTATTAAATATAAATATATATTTATTTAGTACAAGAACCATTAATCTGTGTGATTTAACTCTTATTTTTATTTACCTTATTATTTAATTTTAATATATTTTTCTCTCAGTGTATAGATCTGAAAATAATTTTGTTAAACTAATTATATAGGACAGTCACAAGCATAATGATCAATGTTGTAAAAAATTCCATTTTAGCTTGAGTGTCCTTAACTATAATTATTTTGATAATCTAACAAAATTATTTTCAGATTTACATTTAGCCAAATTTTTAAATACTTCAGCAAAACCATTCTTTCCATATAATAACGAACGATGTGTTGCAAGTGTATGACTTTTGCCCTCCGATATAATGATAACAGCGGTGAAGAAATGTTTAAAAGCAAATCGTGCGTAACGATCCAAAGCGCGTTTCACGAACCGCGTGTGATATTTGTGAGAATATAGTCGAAGTTACATAAACGCGCGCATATCGTAACTTCCTCGCGCGTTTCGTAGAGAGCCCGAGGAAAGGAAACATGGAATTTCTGTTCCTCCCTTCCTCCGCGTCAATGCTTTCCCCACTAGAAGATGCGATAACCACTCGACGAGATGAACGATAATCGACCATAGGCTCTTTACCCTCGCACTTACACGACTGCCTCTTTGTGTCTCGTATCTCCAACGCTTTTCAGAAAAAGCGCCTGTGATCGATAAGGTACTAACGCGGAAGCGACTCTTTTTTTCCTTATGACAAGGGATATAACAACGATGAAAATTTCTATTGGGGTAAATATTCTCGGCACAAAGCACGAAAATTGGACTATTTACAGCACGGAGTTTCCTTCCATATTTGCGATTAAGGTAAAATTTTATCGAAATTTATTACAATTTTATGCACTGAACTCATGCACACGTGTGCTGTAATATTTTTACTTAATTAGTTCCGAATGTAAATATGTATCAGGAAATACATTTTGTGACAGGTGTGGGTACCGATAAAATTATTCATGCTGTAATATCACTCCACTTACCAATAATTTCCCGAACAACGATCACAGGATTTACAAAAATTTAACAATATCTTGCAAATTGTGCAACGCGATATCACGTACGGTAAACATGAGTACGAAGACTAGTTTCACGTTAAACGAGCAGAGTAAACTCAATGTAATTGACACACGGATGTATCCAACAATTTCCAGAAACAACAAAATGTGCTACGACAAAGCCATTTCCAAGTGACACAACGGAATCAACCCTATCACCATGAAAACCTTTCACTTTGCACACGGTCGGGAAGAGCGTAAAAGGGATAAAACGAGCGTGACTGGTTTAGTCAAGCAAGATTTTTATTTCCACACACGTTCCACAGTGAAAACAATTGATCGGGCGGGATTCATCGAATCTTCTGACGGCGGGAATTTCTGCAACACGTTTCGCGAGCGACGGAAGCGCTGCGTCGGGAAACGACGCTTCCGTCTCGGGGAAACGAAAATCGGAAGTCATCCGTGAGATCCGCACGACCGGTGTGACTACACGATTTCAAATTTCAACGACCTCGTCCGACCCTCGTGAGGGACGCCAAGTTCGACTCCATCGTGCCGCGCTGCTCGTGTAACACGTGTGTTTTCCGTGCGGCCGCCCCAACGTTACTGTCAGACCGACTCCAGCTGCTTAGGCCGCGATCAATACGGTCTAGATAGTCGAGATGATTCAGATGACGACGGGCCACGCCACGGCGTGCCATTAACTGTGGATAGAACGTACGTAGTAGCGAGATTTGCATCGGTGATATAAACGGTAAGTTTAATCGCCAGGAAAAAATACTTAAATTAATTGTCGCTTTATTGTAAAATGGTGTCAATTAGATTCTGATTTTTAGTAGATTTACAATAGAATATTTAAACTCTTATTTTCTGAAGAGGACTTAATCTTATGGTCGAAACATCTGTAATTGGTGATTGACATATATTATTTTAATTACACACGTACAACTGGTGTCGACTCTCATTGGCTTTACGCTCCTTTACTAATTTAATCTTTGGAGCCTTTTTATATTTTAATTTTAATTTTTAACTTTAATTCTTATTTTCTTTGTGATTATATCTCCTGATTCTTATTTATTAAGAGAGTCGTCTAAATGTATATGTATTTTATGACATAAATTTTAAATAAATTTTTAGAGCATAATTTCCAATTTAACTATTTCTAAAGGGATGAGTTTTTTTAGCGTCTTAATGTTGCCTTCAATTTCCTGTTTTTTCTTAAAACAAAGTAAATTTCAAATTGTTTTATTTTTCTGTTTTAATTATGTTCGATATATTTTGCAGAAATTTTCATTTATTAATTAAAAATTCACTTATACCGTTTAATTAAAAATCTCATTCATACTTTAATTTTATATTATATTTATATACCCATATTAATTATTGTTCATGTTTCTTAATTATTTCAAACTTCTCTTTTACTGATTGATTTATTGGAGATTATTTTGTGATTATTTGCTAATATTCGCAACATCAGATAATTTTGTGAACGAATTATCTTTGAATTTTTGATGTGTACAATTTTTCTTTTGCGATCAACCTAAATAAACGATGATTGTATCCTGTCTAACGGCGCACCCTCGCAATTCTTCGAAATGAGTTCTATCCTATATTGCCTATATATATATCAAACTAATACATTAAAAACTTCTTCTTCTTCTAAGCAAAAAATAGTGAGATTATTTTAAAAAATAATATGGTATGATTGTTATATAATTGTATGATTGTTAATATAATTAGTATTCTTAATTATTTTAAACTTCTCTTTTACTGATTGATTTACTGGATATACATTATTTGCTAATATTCGCAGCAGAGACAATATAATATAATTAGTATTATTAAAACGACCGCATTTTATTAACGAACACAATATAAACACAACATTAGTATTAAGAAAGCATAGAATATAAAAGGTATTTTGTAGTTGCGAATTTTGTATGCTATAAGATCATGTAAGCAAGGTTGCAAGTATAACGAATAGTATAGAAGACGACGTGAAGAAAGATGGATACGTAAGGGACTCCGCACAATAAAAGGAACAGGGAATAGAGAATAAGAATTTCAACCTATCAGAAATCATGTATTGTGGAATACACAGTTTCTGACACAAGTTGAAATTCTTATTCTCTGTTTTCTGTTCCTTGTTCCTTTTATTGTGCGGAGCCCTTAATAAAGAGAATACTGGAAATCACAAGTGAGGCGTTTTATTATTGACCTACAACTTCCGTACAATCGAGCACGAGTTTAGCTGATCATCCTGTACATATCTCGCTTGCCACGTAGGACCTGGTTAAGGCAATGAAAGAAACAGCGAGGAACAGGCACTGATTGACTTCCGTTTGTGTGTCTCTTCTTTCCATATATTTTGTGTCAAAACTCACACTGTCTCGGGATCGACAACAATGCGGGTCCAGCTGTAATCTGTAATGCGAATTCTGTGGCGGCAATTTCATCTGTGAACAGGCTTTTAATTTGTATTTGAAGATGCACGAGTCTCATTCAGAAGAACAAGTGCAGCCGCAACAGGGCGAGAATTGTAACTGTGGCTTCATGACGATGCCGGAGCTGCGTGAGCATCAGAAGAAACACGTTGCCAAGGATTTTAACTGCGACTACGTGACCTCCCACAAAAAGAACTTAATCACCCATCAGAAGTGTCACAATGTGTCTTCAATTATAAGTATCAATTATAAGTATCAGTGCGAGAAATGCGGCGAACAATTCCAGAGCAAGAGCAACTGCCTGCTACATCTGTTGTCGCATACGAGTAAAAAGTTGATTCAGTGCGACGTGTGTAACGTCACATTTCGCCACCCCGAAGGTCTATGATCGCACTCGAAGATACGTCAACCGGACTATGTACAGTCACAAAGTGAACACCTCTGCAAGCTGTGCAACAAACGTTTTTCTCAGAGACAAGGGTTGCTGACGCACATGAAGATCCACGACGTGGAAAACAAGTACGTGTGCACGATATGTGGCAAGTCCATATCCATCAAGTATTTTCTCTATGCACCAACGCAGACACACCGGCGAGAGGCCTTATGCTTGCGACATTTGTGGGAAAAGCTTTATTTCGAAGAAGTACCTATCCAAACATTGTCGCATGGGCGAGAAGCAATGCACTTATTGTAAAAAAAGATTTGCTCAATGTTCGTTGATAATACATCTACGAAGGCACATAAGTGATCGACTTTTTCCTTGCATGTACTGTTACAAATCGTTTACTACAAAAGTGTTGCTGAACTTGCACTTGAAAATGCACGCGAAACGAAACGCTCGACAGCAACAACAGCAGCAAGAAAGTTCGCAAACACAGGGAAAGGAATTATTGCCGTACGAAACGGTCACTATAATGTTGTAGTTAGGGCAGTGATTGCTTAGATTCTATACTTTTTTTTATGTAATCAAGCTTGTTTATTTCTCTTATGTTTCATCAGCGTAGGTGATATGAGCAGAAGATGCAAAGAATAGATATAAATAACCAGGTACTTTGCAATCTACACAAATCGATAAGCGTTTTAATAAAATAACTGGTGAAAGTACTTATATTATAAGACTACTCCGTAGTTTCATGAAAAATGAAAAATATATATTTATGTGAAATATAATATATTTATAAGTGTATATTTCTCTAAATGTACTCTAAAAATATGTTATCTAAAGATATTAAGATTAATTGTCATTAACCTTGTCTCATTTTGATCAATCTACCCCACAGGCCATTTTTAATAAAAGAAATTGTATTCACGAACTTTGTCACAGGATAATGATTAATCAATTGTCAGCAAAGATCTTCTAAGTCATTCTAAGACATATCATTTTTTATGAATACAGGGATATTGCGATTAATAATGCCAAAGACTTGTCAAATAATAAAATAGGTGATAAGAAAAACTTATTCACCAACTTCATTTTCATAAAAATCGTTATAAATAATATATACAATGCTTGTGGTGCAAATCATTTTACACAACAAATTAATGTAATAAATATAACACGGATATGTATGACTACTGTTAATTTCACTTTTCTTAGTCATGATCAGTGAGATAAGGTAGAAGAGCAAAGTATGAATATCTATATTAAAATAAATGAAACACTTGTTGATTCTCAGTGAAGTTTTATATTACTCTGTTTTAATCATCGATAAAATTTTCACTGATTTAGTTTAAGTAGAAGAAGAAGGAGATATTAAAAACACACGTTACATCATCCCTAGGCATGATGCTCGCCAATAAATCAACGCGATATATCGCTGGGTGGGGCTCGGGCCATTGTTATAAAATTGCACTACATTCGGAAAGAATTGATAGATGAAAGGCGGAAACAAGGGGAGTGAATCGACTTCCATATCGCATAACTACAATTGCAGCGACTTAAAAGTATTGAAACAGGGGAGCAACTATTACAGCGCCAATATTTTTTATTATTATTATAAAAATTGATAACGTGCTGCATGAGTTATTTAACTAATAATTTATATTAAAAACATTAGCGTTATATAATTCTTCGAGAATTCTGGTGAAGATATTGAAACACTGCAACGTAAAGCGACGACGCAAATTTCGCTTCTAGGATTACTCTGAAACTTTCGGAATAATAAATTACGTCGAAGACAATGCGATCTTAATTACATCGTGTTACACACTAGCATTCTAATTGTTTCTCTCTCTCTCTCTCTCTCTCTCTCAGTTGGCTTTCACAAACTTTCAGATTGTATAACGATTGCATACATCATCACAAAAATAACAATAAACAGCAAAATTAGATGATATATTTTTTATAAAGAAAGAACTTTTTAACTAGTATGCCTAAAATTATAAATTTTAAATTTAAACTTGTAACAAAGATTTATATTTTATATTTAAATTTTAACATTCCCTATATCACGTTTTTTAAATTATGTGATTTTAAATATTTTTTAGGTTAAATATTTTTTTAATATATATTACATATTATATATTATATATTATATATTATATATTATATATTATATATTATATTAATATATATATATATATATATATATCGTATATCTATAAAAATAACGTTTACCGATTTTCATCGTATTTTGTACCCTACGTCTCCAAAACAGAGCTGATGTGAAAGTAATCGACTGCAGGTTGGTTATCGACGATATATTTTTAGATAGAATCCGTAAGTCGATATGTGGGCGTAACTGCTTCACTGTCGCTCAATTAAGCAAATAACGTTAACAACGGAACGAACTCAATTGATGATCGTTACACATAAATTACACCCATCTCACACTTCCGCGTTACGTCAATAAGATATTGATGCTAAACGAGTTTTTACAGAATCCAATCTAGCCTAACAATGATGATGTACAGTTACTATTTCATTTTTCCGACCTATTAAATTTCTGGATTTATTTATTATTTCATTTTTTATGTTTAAACAATCTGCTTTGCAGATATATTACGTGAGTTTTAATTTTTAATGTTTAATATTTACAATTTCTTTTTTCTTGTTCTTTTTTAAAAATTTATTTGCTCGTATAAACTTCTATTCATATTTTTACTTTTCAAGCTACACTGAGAAAAAATAGCCTAAGTTTAAATAAATATTTATTTGAATACTGCCAACTAAACATTTACTTACAATAAATAAATTTACTTAATAAAAAGAAGTGACTGTTAAATCAAATTAATATTTTTGTACCAAATAAATATATATTTTTATGTTTAATAAATATGTAGTTGGTACTTCAAATAAAAATATTTATTGAAATTTAGAATATTTTTTTCTCGCGGTGTAATCGAACATAAAAAATTCATTTTGTCTTATTCAATCACGTCTATATACTCTATCAGTATCAGATTTAAAATCAATTTTTCACGACGATGACGAAAATAGGTTTGGAAAGCAATCGTGCGTTTGATGGAGAGATTTTTCTTCTCGAGGAAAACCGATCAGAGTTTTCTTCGAGAGACGCAATGCAGGCATCATAATTCTGCGACAAGCGAATTGAGAAGATATTCCGCTGTGCAGAAAGTTCAGGCAAAGGAGGAGGCGAAGAATTTCGCGAAATTCCAGAAGGCACCGTTAGCTACGCTTCAGAATCGGTAGATCGTTATTAATGAAAGAACAGGATGAGCACTATGGACGCACCTTCAAATAACGTCATCATACCACCTTGAATGGCTTATGTAACGAGTGCCATCGCGCCGTAGACAATGCGTTACGTGACGCGTGTGCAAGCGTGCACATTGTATCGAATCGTCGTCATTTTTTAATCGGAATGCGTCCTTGCGCGCGAGGATTCTATCGAATTCTACATATATAATAGAGACTATATATAATTCGACCAGACACAATTTAGCATTCTGCTAGAAATCAATGACACACAGGTCAACGAGAACATTGTTTGAATCATTTCATTTGCAATTATATTACTTTTATTTTAACGCATACACATTTTTTCAGAAAATACCTTCTTAATTTCTTTAATTTCCAATCTTTTAAATTCTTTTTTTGAATCATTAATTATTATTGATAATTTTTTAATTATTAATTTTCTTTGTTTTGAAACATTTTGTGAGTTCCAGTTACTATAATTGAGATGTTTAACTGGAAATACACTCCAATTATTGCGGTAGAGGGAACGACTTAACTTTGTTGCAATTTTCAATAAATAATTCGTCACGATAGCACTATTACTGTAAAAAGCTTACCCATTTCTTGCCTCGCACTCTGTTCCGAATGCCCGTTTACGCGCATCGTCGACTCCGAACTTTCCTTTTCATACTTATACAGCGCCTTGATTGAAGATCCCGCCTCTGTAAGAAGAACAGAACAATATTTATTATATGCACTTGCATTGCGCGCGCGTGAAATCGCGGTACAACGGAATATCGCACGCACCACTTCCGATCGTGTCTTCCTATTAATTGTTTCCATAATTACCGGAACAGGGCCTGCCATTGTGCGAAATCATTGTTCAAAGACAATGGTCTTAACTAAGGATACCGTACGGAAAAATTACCGATGGTTGAAATTATCTAGTATAAAAACGATTATTTTAAACTTTGCTAGGTGTCCAGAGGAAATCGACCTAGTAAACCGAAGGTCAGTGATGGTTAGATAACAATTACATAGACGGTATTCTGTCTTTTACTTGATGCTCGTTAATTCATAGAATTATGGTCGTATAATATATTGCATAAAATATAAAATTCGAAATTATAATTAAAAAATGCATGTTTTAAAAGTTGTTATTCCCTTAATTAACTTATAGTACCGCTCAAAGTTTTCAATACTGCTTTCAGTACTGCTTCTGTAAAAAGATGAACTAATTGTTGGTTAAATGCGTTTGTCTTTTGACTCGGCTCTTTTTATATTTGAGCCAAAGAAGTGTTGACGCGTATTACATTTTAATTTAGTTTGTATGAAATAAAGAAAGAAATAAAAAAACAGGCACTAGTAATTAAATATTTAGTTACAGGTTAAAAATTATAAGCAAGTAACGTATTACAGGGTACTTTCCAGTTGTAATCAATATAAATGTTGTTCTATCGTTGTTACTCACTGGAATGTCATGAAAGATAAAACGATGTTTGTGTCGACTTGTGTCACTAAACAGAAAGCATTCATATTCTACAATTATCGGTTGTTAAGGAAGAGTGGAAGATACAGGTTTCAAAAACAAGTGATATAGTGTACTAGTGCTCAAATAAACACTCTGATTAACATGCTTTAACGTAGCGTTAATTCATTATGACGCAATTCTGAGAATTTGAATATTGTATTTTACTTTTTAAAAATGTACAAAAAATATTGATTTAAGTTAACAAATATTTAATATAAAATAAAAACAATTTTTCTTTTTTTTCCGTTTATTCTACACATTTTGCTATTTATTGAAACTTTGAAGAGGTACGGTACGTATATTATATAAATAATATAATATAATATAATAAATACATTTAAAATTTTTGTAGAAGTATATGTCGGTAAAATTCCAATATTTTCCATATTTAAATTAATTTTTATAAATATTGCACACATTAAAACTTTTATATGAATTTTTCCATATATCTAGATGCAAATCGCTTCTCACAATCAATATAGATTTCTCGGGCAAAAGGACTTACGGGCATGTCGGACCTTTACGTAAGCAGCCATGAACAACAAAATCTCGTAACTTTTAAACGCGCACGTGTTTTTCCGCACCTCGTTTTTGCCCAGGAGCATGAATCGCCGACAATTCCGCTCGAAAGAAGAAACATCAACGTATAATGACCTTGGCCAATGAAAACGAATGGCGATACGCGATAGTGTGCGTGCATAAAGAATCATCAAGGGAATGTAGGACACGTTGCACCTTTCGTGTTTACAGTG